GAAGCAGGAACGGCTGACGAATGATGACGTAGTGCGCGATCTTCAAGCTCGAATCACGATTTGGTCCGTCCTGGGAACACAGCTTTACGTACACTCTTAGCCAAATCCTGGCTAGACTACACGCCTGCAGGCAGAAAATGGAGTCAGATTAAGCTACTTCTACGCGACTCTGTAGCCGTGTCCCAGAGAAACCGGCCCGATTCGAAGTGGTCTTGGGAATAGGCGGAGTTTTAAATCAAATTTAGTTTGGCACGATACGGCCTGCGGTTGGGCTTGACCTTTCCTTAGGTGAAAAAAAAACACGCCTTATTTTACGCAATCGAGAGTGCTTTCTCGCTGATGATAGGGAGGGTATTATGACTATAGGTAATTAGATAACGATAAGTGCCAATATCATCTACTTCTGCGCGAATAACATGCAAGGCACACTGAGAACTGGAATCGAACTCGGTACCGCATGCACGTGAAACAGATGTCTTACACAGCGCCACCGCACAAAGGCGAGTTTTTTTTTTTGGCGGGGTATATATTTATCAAGTGGCTTTTTGCGAACCGTTCGCGAGACCTTAAACTTTTTCGTGCCATATGCATTTGTTTGCGCATGCATTTTATCAGCAAACAGTTTGTAGAGCTTCGTAAACTCGAGAAAACCACGGTGAGCGCTTTCTGTTCCGAATTCGGTTCATGGTGCGCCGGTCCACAAGAACGTATAACATGTGTTCGTGTGTAATTTTAGTGCTTCCACGTGAACCGCAGGTGTTACGCTCACCGATATTCGCGGACGAGGCTGTGTTCGGCTGTGGAAACCTACGTATGTTTTTCGCACGTGCGTGTGCTTTCCGCTTGCGTGCCCGTCACTGAACGGGTCTGCGTAAGCTGAAGCCGGCTCCGGGCGCCAGGCTGGCGCATCAGAGGCGGCGGCCTCTCCTTTTAGGGGCGAAGCTCCTTATGGCGTGGCTTCGGCGTTCCTCGTATGTAACCACCAGTGGCACATACCCGAAATAGGTATAACACTTGACCTCCAAGGTGGTGCCAGTGAGAGATTTCTTCTGTGCGTTGTTTAACAATAAAAAATAGTGCTCAATGTACATGCCAATGGCTGCTAATGGGGAATGAGAGACATGAGCATTCGGCTTTTAGTCAACGCGCACGCTGCGATCCCCATTAGCAGCCATTGGCATGTACATTGAGCACTATCGGACAAGAAAGGGATGCTACATTATACTCGCTGGCTATAACCTCCTTAGCTTTAGAAAGGTTTAGCGAGCGTTGGACGGTCACACAGATGGACGCATGGACGGACAAATGCTTCGCCCCACTCTCCATCATGCACTCCGTGGATATGCTGCCATTTTTTCTCTGTTTTTTTCTTCTTGCACCCTCTTTTACCAGCTATAGGCAGTACCTCCGCGTCGCGCAGCTGTCACGGGTATTTTTATTGCTGGGCTTCCTATAGACAGGTTTTTAGTCAGTACTTAGGAGCGTGCCGCCTATATGCCGTTTGTTATCCGTCACCTGACTGAAAGTGTACTGACCTGCTGTTGCTCGGCTGCACTGAAATATAACGATGGAAGTTGCTTACAGCCGGCGTCGTCAACGCCCCGTAGCATTAATATTTTCGAATGTTACTGACGTCTACCCTTGCACGAAAATACCCACAGTACGTCGTTCTATAGGCAAACATTTATGCACTAAAGGGACCCTGTCACACTTTGCTAAGTATTTTCAAATGGCCCATTAAAGAACTTCGTTGCCTCACCAATCGACTGCCGGAAGCATTTTTATAATCCGCGAAGTAAGGGCAGAGCTAGAGATTTGCCGCAAGCTTTAAGCACTTTCTCTCTCCTTCCGCCCCAGTGGAAGCGCTGACAGCTGTGCAGGGGCGGTGATGGCAACGAACCGAGAAAATGCGCCCCTTCATCAGCACGCGTGATGATGTTGGCATTTTCGTTTAGATGAGAAGCGGCTTACGGTCAAGCTCAATTAGGTGTGCGTGGCCACCTTACTGCACATGCAGAACAGCTGACCCAGGAACTGTCAGAAAGCGCTGATACGTTAGCGCGTTCTGGCCTGTGTAAGGGGCTGAGTAAGACGCTGTGGCCCCTCCCACTTACACTCTATTAGCAATCATGTAAGGCGTCGGGGAACGGGGTTCTGCAGACGTGCGATGAGCCTGTGCACGTGGTCCTGCGTCGCGGGGCGATGAAACCGCGTGGCGTGTTCCAACGAAAGTTCGGGACGTGTAACAGCAACAAAAAAATGGCAGCATATCCACGGAGTGAATGATGGAGAGGGGGGCGAAGCATTCGTCCATCCATTCATTCTTGCTTCCGTCCATCCATGCGTGCATCTGTGTGGCCGCCCGTGCGTCCATCCGCCCGTCCATGCGTGCGTCTGTTCGTGTGTCCGTCCCTGCGTTCGTCCATGCATCCGCCCCTGCGTCCGTTCATGCGTCCATCCATGCATCTGTCTGTGTGTCCGTTCGTCCATCTATTCAACACTCCAAGTACCACCATCTCGCATCTTTTCATCATATATTCCCCATATAGAAGCGCCGCCATCCAGCGGACATTCCAAGGACTAAACGAGAGCTGGCACACGCGCAATTTCTTACGGCTTGCGCTTCGGGTCTACTTCCCACCTTTAACCCCCTCGAGTTCATGGTATATACTAGTTCACTGTACACATGGTACTGCGGTCCAACGCTCGCTAAACCTTTCGAAAACCAGGGAGGTTACGCCTAGCGAGTATAACGTAGCAACCTTTTCCTGTCAGATAGTGGTTAATGTACATGCCAATGGCTGCTAATGGGAAATGAGAGACAGGAGAATTCGGCTTTTACTTTCTTACGGCTTGCGCTTCGTATCTACTTCCCACATTTAACCACCTCGAGTTCGTGGTATATACCAGTTAATTGTATTCATGGCGCCGCAGCTCAACGCTCGCTAAACCTTTCTAAAACTAAGGAGGTTACACCCAGCGAGTATAATGTAGCAACCCTTTTTTGTCAGATAGTGCTCAATGTACGTGCCAATGGCTGCTAATGGGGATCGCAGCGTGCGGGTTAACTAAAAGCCGAATGCTTCTGTCTCTCATTCCTCATTAGAAGCCATTGGCATGTACATTGAGCACTATTTTTTATTGTTCAATAACGCACAGAAGAAATCTCTCACCGGCACCACTTTGGAGGTTATACTTGTTACATACTACAATGGCTACGAGGGACGAATGGGTGGCTGCATGAAAAGCTTCGCCCTTAAAACGACAGTGAACTGATGGTGTGCTCCCCTTGGCAGGACGCGTTAACATCGGGCAAGATACCCGCGATGAACAGAACTTTTAAGTCGGCCCACTGACTTCTTCACACGCTGCTTATGGTTTCCTGTAGTGAGAGATAATTTATTTTTTTTGTTAAAAGGTTTGATTTACATTCAGTGTGACCGAAAGCAAGCGTGCGGGCACGTGGCGGTATCCCGCAGCAGCCACAGTAACCAGGCCGCTGAGAAGGCTAAAATTCAGCCGTTGGTCGTGGATTTAGGGTTGCTGAGGCGCCCATTTAGGTTTAAGGAATCAATTTTGGAGAGAATAAAGGACAATTTCTAGGTGACTTTGAGAGCTAATTACTAATTACAGGCCTCGTGCTATGCTGTACTGTTTGGCTCGTGTGTTCTGAGGAGCCTCGAATATAGATGGGCAGCGTTTTTTACCATGCTTAAAAAGGGTTGCAGGGCGTTAGGAGAAAGGTGAGTGAGTTGACGCAGCTGGTCATTCGTGTTTTTTTTAAGGCGCCGTACGTATGAAGAATGTTGTCATTTTTTAAATGAGTATTGATACTATTCTGAGGCACTTCAAAAAAGACATTCTTTAAAGCTTCTGTAGTGTTCACTATCAGCGTCCTCCTACACCGCAGTCAGACCGCGCGTATAAAATACATTTCTTGAAGTTTAAAATTTTCTCAGCCAAGTATAAGCAAGCTGGCCTCACAGCATCGCATAATACCACGACAAGTGAACACAGCTGCAATATATTTGGTTTGCGAAGTCTGCAGCCTTTGTTTCTGAAATCACTGTCAGAGTTTCTGGACGACGATTTGGTCGTTGTTGTTTAAAGGGCCCTGCAACACTTCTTCGGCATGGTCAGAAAACGCTGCCGATCGGAAGTAGAGGGTCCCGACAACACGCGAGCTAAATATTATAACGCAGCACGCGGCCTGGAATTCACAATAAATGATCAAATTCAGCTAAATATAGCTTTGTTTTCTCTCGACAAATCACGGAAAATAAGCCCAATAAGCCCATAACAATGCGCGCTTGGTTGTTACAGAGGTCACCGCGAGAGGTCGTCACTTGTCCACGCAAGGGGGCACGCGCGTGAACAAAAATAAAAAAATAAAAAAGGTCAAGGTCACAAGGTTTGAGTGACGTTTTTTGTTTGCCCCTTCCATCCCTCCCTGCTCAGCTTCCAGCGCTTCCCTCGGGACGAGAGAAGAGAGTATGTGATTGCAGCATGTGACTTATCTTTGTAACTCCGCTCGTACTGGACAGATTATCAAAATTCTGGCGGCATTCAATTTGCGAGTTCATACACTTTTTAAGTGAATTGACATTTTTTCAAGTGAATTAACTCCATGGTTAGTCAAAAAAGTGTTTCAGGGCCCCTTTAAGTGAACCACTTTTTACTGACAGCAAACTTGCAGTGGTCGCTACTATGTCGTGAGTTGCAGTTTTCCTGTGACGTCAAATTTGAATTGATATGTTTCTGCGAGACCACCCCCTCGATACCGAACCAAAATCACTGTGTTAAAATAATGATAATAAAAATAAAATCAATACGCTCTCAGGACCTACGTAACTTATTTAAGCGTTCTCAACACCCGCCTTTTTATATAGAGCAAACGCCCAAAAATATTTTGTATTCGTGTCAGTACTCGTTTGATAGTACTCTGGGCTTTGAGAAGAACGTACCAACTGGAATCCGTTAAAAAAATTAAAACTTCGCAGGCTGGCCGAGCACATATCTATGGACACAGCCGCTGCGCTTAACTACAGCCTTGACTTGGACAGCGAGAAAGACAGAGACCATCCTCTGGTGAAAATCTCTCAGTGCCATCTTCATAAAGAATGCTGGTTGGCGGGCTGTCATGTTGTGTAAGTACCTCGCTTGCCACTCAATTTCGTGGATAGACCGCGCGCCCTTACTTGAGAGCGTTCAACTCTTTAAAGCAAAGCTCTTGTAGCTCGTCGTATTTCGGGCGAAGTCACACAAACACTAAAACACAAAGACACTCATGATATACAGGACGCATGATCTCCTCGTCCTTTGCTTCATCTTTGTCGTCGGGCTCACCTTCTGCTTCACTCCCAAAAGCAAAACCGCCAATTTCTCTGTGGCGGGATGCAGCAACTTTGGTGGGCGAGACGACGAGTACTAAGAGAAAGAGAGAGAGAGAAAGAAAAAATAGAGAGAGAGTACAGAGATAAATATAAGAGAAAAAGAGGTGTTCTACGAGGGGAGGGGCGATTCTTTCGTGATGCGAGATTCGAAATCGCGTATCCACCATCCGAAGACGAGGACTGTCAGGGCAAAGCATAGCCTTGTGTAGTATTGTAGGGAAAAGGACCGTAAATGGGAAGTGCGGAAAAGCGGAAAATACGCGCGGGGGGGGGGGGGGTTCAAGGAGGAAAACAAGAAGAGAAGAGAGTACAATATGCGATAGTAAGCAAGAGAAAAGGAGATACAGAGAAAACAAAAGGCACGAAGAAAAAGACAGAGAGGACCAAGGAAAGACAGTGAAAGATAGCGAGGGCAAGAAAAAGAGATAACAACGGTAAGCGAGTAGTAGAGAAGTAGAAGGAACAAAATTGAAGATAAGAAAGATAGGAAGTTCAAGAAAGAAAATAAAGACAGGAAGAAAAGAAATGGAGAGGCGAGGGGGAGAAGAAAAGGGTGCCACCTCATCCACTGCTGCCTTACCCTTCTCGCCACAAATTCGGCACAAATTGCCCTGCTTCTTCGACAAGAGGACTCCCGTTGAACAAAAACAAATTAAAGACTTGTGGTCTTGTGCGCGATTCCTAGCAGCTGTTACTCCGTACGATACACAAAAAAAACTTTTAGCTTTTAAGTTGTACACCGATGAGTGATACACCACACAACTGAGAGCTGACTGATTCACACTTTGAGCTGAACTTATCCAGCATGCCGAGCAAATATCGGTATGCAACAAGTAAATATCGGTTCTGCGTACTGCTTGTAACCAAACACTATCTCTACAGTTCTGATGCCCAGGATCTACAAGGTCTTGAAACCTAACTACCCGCCTAAAGCAAACATCGACATATTCAAGGCATTTGTATCGCATCTGGTTCAAGAGCGGGAGTCAAAAACTAAGGTAAATGCACAACGGAATGAAGAAGTAATTTCACTTATTGCTGATATGGCTTAGTGCGGAGAATTTCGTATAAATAACCCATCTCGAGGAAATTTGGCAGTGTGATGTGCAAAGTATGTCATTCCACGTATTTTATTGCACTTGATTGTTTATATTAGAATGCAAAGTATCTAAAAAGATTTCCATAAAAAGACACGAAATTCGTTCGCGATAACACAATATAGGTGGTTAAAAACACCTACATTGGAAATTACAAATAACCACGCGTCCCAGTAGCACTCCGACAAAAAAAAAATAACGAGAGCGTAGTTTCCGCTGTTGCTTATGGTTTGGTGGCCATGGATAACGCTACATTTTTCCAAAGCAGCTACTCTGTTTGTAAGTAGAGATCAGTGAATTACCTGCCGATAATCGTTTTCCTCGTCTTCTAAAACTTCACCACCAGAAAGAAGACGATTTCCTGCAGCTGTACTTGGATGCTGAGTACCAATCGGAGATCGCTGAAGACGGGAAACAAAGCAGGGATGAAAGAAGAGGTAAGCCATGCACCTGTTGGTCGGCTCGATATTCTAAGACAATGAAGCGATGGTACATAATGATATCAGAAATATTAGGCTAAACGCGCAAACGTACTCCCGTGACAACGAGAAGAGTGGCTATCAGTATATACAGGCGTGTTTACTTATGTGCATACCTAAAAAGATGTACAGCACACACACACACACACACACACACACACACACACACACACACACACACACACACACACACACACACACACACACACACACACACACACACACACACACACACACACACACACACACACACACACACACACACACACACACACACACAAACAAACACACACACACACACACACCACACACACACCCCCCCACACACACGAACGCGCGCACACACACACACACACATGCACACACACTGTTGCGCATGCGTTTATATTAACATAAAATTGTATAATTTGTGTGTTTAGTTGTTGTACTGTTGGAAAATCGGAAGATCGAACAATGCATTTAACGACGTCTTGTAATCAGTGTGTTTTACATTGTTTGCAACTTGATCTTATCATGTAGCTTTATAAGCGTTATCAACTTATCCTGCTGATGTAGCACAATGTTATTCACATATTGACATCAATTTTTGTGAGTTATGCCAAGTCATTAACACAACCCTAAGCGGAACTGATCGGAAATAATTTTTTTTCCAGAAATGACACTGGACGGAATAACTGGCCACGGAATCGTATTCTTCATTGGTGGTGTGGAAGGTAACATGATGGCGGTTACAATGACTGCCTACTACCTCGCCCTCCACCCCCACTTACAGGACCGGGTCCTCGAAGAAGTAGACAAGGTGGTTTCTGAGGTAGGTTGTTGCAGTATATCTGTAAATTTCAGTAAGAGAGGCCATACGACATTTTCCGAGTTGCCCAATTACTTCATTTAGGAAGTTTATTTATCCATTAATCAACTCCAACCAAGTGTTTTGGAATACGTTGGAAGGAGTTTAGAGAGAACTGCCCTTTCATTTAGCGCTTTCTATCTCTTTTCATAGCAGTGGGTGTACTGAAAGCAGCGCAGAAGGGGCACGTCAAGGGGTAAAACGCTATATCGGTTGGTCAGCGCATGTAACGACATTGAGAATTTTTTTTGTTTTTCTTTCTGTTTCATGGAATGCGCTGCTTACTTTCAGTATATTATCGTGAGCGCATTGGTATATTTGGTATTGTATACTGTGTGTAAGAGTGCTTACTGTGTGTAAGCACTCTTACCGTGACATGACGCTTGGTACGCGAAAAAACGATTGGGAAGAAAACGTGTGTGGATACGCCTCCGTGAGATTGCCGCACCGAACTTACTCACTCCTCGTGACGTAGTAAACTTTGAAGGCGTCTGCTGGGTTTTGCGTAGCTTCTACTCAATAAAAAATGAAATACATCGTCATCTCTGGGTGCCATATAGACCTAGCATACGAAGTTTCAGAAATTTTCATCGATTCGATGTCACGAACATACGAAAAAAATACACTTTTCAATTGGTTACGCCAGGCGCAGTTATTTCGGAACGAAATTTAATAATGAAACTTCAACCTTGATTTCCTGTACTAGTAAGCCATAAAGTCATCACAGCGTAACTCATGGCATTCGACTTCTCGAAGTGCAGTTTATCAATCTAAACCAAGTCGCTATTTGTCCTCAGTGTCCCTTTAAGGTTTCACAACGTAGACGAGAGGTGAGAATTGTCTACCGTAACGAGGGCAAATAAACCTAATTGTTTTTTTTTTTCAGTAGTGGTTCTATATCAACTTGATGTCCTTTTTTACGATGGGGTTTCCATGTGAAAGGCGCATACTATGCATTATCGGGCACATTAGGGTTGTGTAATACGTGAACGATTTTGTCAGCTTCGGCGTGTAACATAGCGTGCGCTGCATATAACCTATACGTTCAAGGGCTTTTTGATGGTACTTAAATTCGAGGGGACCAAGCGATATGACGCGCGAAAAATCCTGCCATCTCCACTGAAGTGAATGATGGTGGAGGACCTTGCTCGGAACTTGTCCTGGAGAACCCGTGAATGTTCTGTACAAGTCCTCTACCATCACGGTGTCTGTATATACACCTGCATATACAATGCTTTATTATACACGTATTGACGCAAACTATATGCACTAATATACACACCAGCTGTAATCATATGCGTATCGATGCAAATATATACGAGGATTGCATTACTGATCACAAAGCTGTGGGACGCGTTTTCGTTTGATGATTACAATGGTGTGGTTGGTGAGGTATGTGGCGAGGGGATCTTGAATTAGAGGTTTCAATTGAAAGTGTGAGAAGGCAATGTCCCTAAAGGTCCCGAGTCGAGGTTCTCTTGCCTCTACTTGCGTGCCGCCTCCGCTTCACGGGCTCTCAATTCTAGGCCCGCCTGTCGACGAGCCTGCTTCGCAGCCTAAAGCACACATAATGCCTTGCAGATGTGTAGTGGGCACATAGCTTATCAGCAGAATGACAAATGGCTTACATTGGCTTAATGGGTGCTTCCCTGCTTCAAGAAGGTTACGGTGGGCGTGTAGTTGATACATTGCAAAGCTGCGCCTCTAGCGTGAATGCCAAGGGAGATGCCCCAAGCATAAGAAGCTTGGCGAGCAGGCTCCCAAACGGACTAAGTAAATAAGCATATTCAAGTGCTGCATTTTTCCAAATGCAGTTGGAAGAAACTTGAGCGCTAAAAGCTGCTGTTAACAACCTGAAATAGGTCCGAAAACCGCAAACACAGGGCACGGACTTGACTTGAAGGCCCACGTGGCGCCTGATTTACATGTTCATGTTAGATGAGCAGGAACGTATAAGTAGAATGAAGATACTTGAAATAACAGGTTATCAGAATAAATAATGACAAAATATGTGAACAGTGAAAAAAAAGTTGAACGTTATAGAATGCAGTAGAAGCTTCAATCAGGAATATAGCACAAAAGACAATAAAGAAATATATCTCATTCACACAAAACAAAAAAAAATACCTTTTGAGAAGAGAATAACAAAAATTGCGTCTGTATACACACACGCGCCTGCTTATGCATGCTATATATACATATATACACGTCTCTACAAACATAGATAAATATGTACAATAAATGGCAAAAAATATTGCCTGCATAAAATATAGCAACGTGAAGCATGTATGAAGACTCAACGATTTAGCTTCTAAATGTTTACTAAGAATAATGAACAGATTTCAATAGAAAATGCTTTTGCATGTATCCTAATGAGAAAGTACTCATACCGACAAATTTAAAAATATTTGATGCTTTAATCTTATGTGGGTGTCCCAAGAGCTTTGTGCTGATTAAGAATAATTGGAAAATTGCACTTCAAGGACTGCAATTTATAAAATAAGTGCGGGAACATGGTATGAGCCATAGGTCAGTGGAGCGAGTGCGAGAATAACTGTCCTGCTGAAGCGATGCATCGTAGGTCATAAAATCCTTATTAGACGGCGAAGACACATAAAATGAACGCATAACACGAAATGCGTAGAGGTGATGTATACTCATTATGTTGTACGACAAGATATAACATGCTGTGGAAATCAAGTAATCAATATTGGCAGTGTTGCGAACGGCTTTCTTTTGCAATAAGTACATGCTCGCAATGTTTCGTTGGGTAGTAGTCAATCATACCAAACTATTATAATTATTCTGTGATGTGAAGAGTGCATATTATTTTTTTAATTTGCTTGCCTTAGAAAAATAAGAGGGCAATGGGCAACGTGAGCTCCTCCGCTCGTTGAAAGCTTTTTGCAGAAATTTTCGAGGCGAGTGTCGACCTAATGACAGACTCGAGCAAAGTGTAAAGCGAAGAATTTTAGATTAATTAACAAATTAAATCCTGTGTACGTTGCAGTAAATGCATCTTGCTGCGAATGAACCAATTTATTTTTGGCGCGAAAAAAATACTTCCGTTTTAGTTTGAATAGTTTTTGGGCAGTTGAAATGTGAACAGAATACTAGTTTTTCAAGGATGGGATAGTTGTGACGCTAAAACGTTTTCATCAGTTCCGGACAGCAGGGTAGGGCTGCCACCTGCATAGGTAATAAATTTTGAGCTTGCATCAATACTTACATTATCGTTAGTGTATACGTTAAAGAAAATATGACCAAATGCTTTCTTGGGGTACGCCATAATTTACGAACGATAGTGTCCGGTACACACACACGGACTCTTGTTGATGAGTTATGAACGGAGTTGCTTACCACGAACTCCATGATCTGATAGCTTTAGTAGAAGAATGTTCAGTAAATCAAAAGATTTACTATTAGAAATGAAGAAACCGGGAGCTGTAAGTTTATCTTCCGTGCTTTTCAGCACACACTATTTGAGAGTTGATGAAGCTTTTTCGATGGAACGCCCTTTCCGAAAACCAAACTGCGCGTCGGAAAGTAAATTTATTTTGACGAAGAAGCCGTGCCGCCGAAAGGACAAGCTTTTTTTCTAAGCTTTTCAAATAATTGAAATCACAGATAGTAGTCTCTAATATCTGTCGCCATTAATATTGCCACCTTTGTAAATAACAGGCACCTTGGATTTTTCCACTGCATAAAAAAAATTTACCTCATGGATGAGCGAGATGAAATATAATGTGTATGAGTTGCCTAATACAACATAATATTGCCGAAAAGAGTGCCATTGAAGTCTCTTCATTCACATAAAATATTTATGTATAAAGAAAACCTTATAAGTTTAATGGAATATTTTTTCAGGGTGGCATTACCTACGACACTCTGCAGCGGATGCCTTTCCTTGAGGCGTGCCTCAAAGAGGCACTACGACTGGAAACCCACGATGCTATGTGAGCTGAATGAAAACGTTCCTTCGAAGAGCCTCATGTCGGACGCAATTTCAGTACAGGCGAAAGTGCTTGAGGCCCATGCACTTAGATTTAGAATTATGGTATAGAAGCCCAAGTGGTCACAATTTCCAGAGCCCCACACTACAGCGTCCTTCATAATCATAAGCGTAGTTTGGGGCTCTAGTCTTCAAGAATCAAAATAATATAATTATGCACAAAACACCGAAATACGTACCCACCTGCATTATGCACATGTAACTCAACTTCCTTGATGGTATACAGTCATGTTACTTCGGCTATTTTTTCGATTCAACGGTATCGCAGAACAGAACAGTGTGTCAATCTGCTGAGCAGCCTCTAAAAAATGTATTTTGTATAAAAGTGCGGGGGGGAGGGTATATTGCAAGAGTCGAGCCGCATAATGCTTAACTTTAATGTGTTAAAAGGAACGGTGTTTTATAATCAGCCAACTACGCTGCAAAATAGAAATCGGATATTGAGGAGCAGGAGCATGAGATGTGTGCAATTTGCAAGAGAAGGACACAAGCATACTGGCACGCAATTTATAAGGCATAAGGATTTTCAGTTTCAGTTTCAGTTTCAGTTTTATTGAGCAATTTCTTCACAGAGTTGCGAAAAAGAAAACGCAAGGATAAGAGCAAAAAGCTGCCATGTTAGCAGCTTGACGAGGCTCCTACCCCTTTTCACTTGGCATTACAAAAATCCGCAGAGCACAAAACATGAAAAAACAATTTGTCGTCGATTTTCAAAACTTCAAGAAATTAGGAAATAAAAAGAATATGCATCAAAATTACATCAGTTTCAGGTTTACATAAAATAAGTAAACCACAAAGAGAGAAAAACAACAAAAAACAAAAGAAAACAGCGCGCGGTCAATCATTTAATGCCATTTTCACACCTACCTGTGTAAAAATGGCATTAAATTTCAGATTTTACTTTTACGTTTCGAAACGCTAATTTTTAAATCTCGCACAGATATACACGCCTGTGCACCGAAGAGACCACCGTGGCCGGCATCTGCTTCAAGCCAGGCATGTGTGTTGACATTCCATTGGCAGGCATTCACCACGACGCCGAGTACTTTCCTGAGCCCGAGAAGTTCAATCCAGAAAGGTAATAAAATTGCGCGATTGCTTACATTTGTTCGAATTAAAGGACATTTGTCAGAACGGATTCGCCTACGCATACTATTTACAAGAGCAGTATTTGTAGCCGATTCTTTCCATAAATACTTTCGTTCATGCGTCACATGTTCCTGATGAAGCAATAAACACCATCAGACAATGGCGTTAATTTTGCTTTTGGTAGCTCCATCAATTCACCAGACGCGTCACAGTACAGCAGGCGCCAAGCTGCGCCAAGATGCGACAAGTGCACCCGTCACATGTCAGTCATGTCAACACAAGGTTCTGACAGAATACCATTTTTTTCACTTTGATTGTCCTAGCTGCTGTACCGAGAGTTCATCACGTGAGCCCATAAAAGCGGCTGCATTGTATCATACCTACTTACTCTGACGAATGCCGTGCCATGGCCGAAACGTTAGTAAAGACAATTTCCTTTTCAAATGTGCTATTTGCAAGTTCATTCAATATATATATATATATATATAAGGTCGTAGGTTCGATTCCTGCTCACAGTTGGTAATTTTTTCATCCACTTTTCTTTCTTCTTATTTACATTCCATTGGTTCTAATAACTTCCCCTGTACATTCCTTGGCATTACTGTCTGTTATATCTCATTAATATTGTGTTAAAACACGGAAAAAACGAGCCCTTAGGTATACACTTCTTTCCCTTATCTATATATATATACATATATATTGTGAGCATTATTCATACGCGTCATCTTATCGTATGTACATCCTCATCATCATCAGTCTGATCTGTGTTGTGGGGCAAAGACTAGGCAAGTAAAAGAAGTGTCTTGCAGCCAAAACGTTGCCTTGCAAGTGGTGGAGAGTGCTTTCCGATCCCCTGGTCCTCTCCCTGCAGCGCTTTTTCGTTATCTTCGACTACAAACCATCCCTGGAGCTCCTGTCGGGTCGCCGTCTGCGCAGTCAGCCTACGGTCATGTCGCAAGACGAGCACCACAACACGGCTCCATCCACCCCGCCTGCACCACTGGGCATGCCTTCTTGGACTGTCACCGCCCCTCAAAAAGATCCCCCGATGTTCGCCGGCCTTCGCGGTGAAGACGTTGAAGACTGGTTGGATGAGTATGACCGTGTGAGTGCGCTTAACTATTGGCATGATTCTGTGAAGCTGTCCCGCGTGCCTTTCTATCGACGGATCTGACGGCTGTCGCTAAGACATGGTTTCTCAACCATCAGCTGGATTTCCCAGAGTGGCCTACCTTTAAGCAGCAGCTCCGTCAGATATTTGCCAACCCTTCTCTACGTGCAGACATTGCCAAACAGAAGCTTGCTGAACGTGTCCACCACTCCGGTGAATCCTATACATCGTACATTCAAGATGTCCTCGCCCTATGCCGTCGCGTCGACAGCTCCATGGCGGAGCATGACCGCGTTCGCCATTTGCTCAAGGGCATAGGTGCCGTCGCATTTAACGCTCTGGCGGCAAGGAACCCGACCACGGTCGCCGATATCATCAGTACGTGTCCGCGACTCGATGACCTTCAACTTATACGTTTATAACCGGAAACAGCAGATATCAGGCCAACGCATGACGGTGAGCTCCGTGCGTTGATACGGTCTATGATCCACGAGGAGCTGCAACTCCAAGCCACCTCGTCATCTTATGAGCTCCGCATGACGCCTTCTACAGGCAGTGTCCGCAACATTGTGAGGGAGGAACTAGCGTCCATGACGTGTGAGGAAGTCCCGAGCTCGCATACCACTCCAAAGCCGACGTACGCTCAGGTGGTTGCAGCGTCACCTCCTCAGCAATCTCCGCAGTATGGGTCAACTATGCATCCTTCACTGAATGTACTCGCCCCAAGAGCAACGCCTCCTTCGTTTCAAGCCTGGCGTCCATCTCGACCTATTTGCTATTATTGCGGAATACGCGGCCACATCTCACGGTTCTGTCGTCGACGTCAACAAGACGAAAGGCGTGGCTATGGTGACTTCGAGAGGGATGAGTTTGCCCCCTATCCACAACATCGCCACCCATACCAACTTTGCCAACGCCGCTCACCCTCTCCACAGCACTTCGATGCAGCCAGTACCTTCCGCTCCTCGCGCCGTCACTCCCCGTCACCTATGCGCCGTTCTTCGTCACCACTTCGTCCGGCTACCACGGCGTCTGATCATCGCCTGGAAAACTAAACAGTGCAGCTTCAGGAGGGAAAGCTGCATTTGGCGGACTGCATCGAACTCCCCCGGAACGCCCCTCAAATGTACTTTCAGTGTGTGTTGAGGGTATATGGACTGAAGCCTTGGTGGTCACAGGTGCATCGCTCTCAGTTATTAGTGTGGACTTGTGTTCCCGTTTGCGCAAAGGGAATACACCGTATGATGGCCCTCCCCCTCGCTGTGCTAATGCGCTTTTTGTTCAGCCTTCTGGTGTTTGCACAGTACGAGTTTTTATTGAGGGCATGCTTCATCATATACAGTTCCTTGTTCTGTCATCGTGTACCAATGTGCTCATTTTAGGATGGGACTTTCTCTCCTCAGCTTCAGCCGTGATATCTTGCCGTCAGAGGGTCATTCACATGTCAGATACTGCGTTTTCGTCTGATAACTATGCCCATAGCCAGCGTTTCGTCACCGCTGATGACTGTTTTATTCCTCCAAGTAATGAGCATATTCTGACCCTGATATCAGAAAAGATCGATACTGGTGATGTGTTCCTAGCACCATGTGGACGCTACCTCTGTGGTGGACTTACCATCGCTCCTAGCCTGGTGCGCTTTCGTGATGGCAGAGAATTAGTTACGGCAGTTAACCCCACTTCATTGCTTGTTGCACTGCCCCAGTGCACCAGTGTGGTTTGCTTCACAGATACCGAACCACTTTCTCTGGTGCCCCTTCACAGAGACTCGCCATCTTTCTCTACGAGTACTGATGACCAGGCTACAACGGCTGCTTTAAAAGCCACAATAAATCCCGATCTCACGTCAGCGCAAAAGCAAGAACTTTTGGGTATGCTTCAAAAACACAGCGCTTCATTAGATGTATATTCCAAGCTTCTGGGTCGCACTTCTGTCGTCATGGATTGAATTGAAACTGAAGGCAATACAATCGTACGCCGCCGCCCATGTCGAGTGTCGTCCGCAGAGCGCAAAATCATCGAGGACTACGTTGCTGATATGCTCCAACGAGATGTTATCCGGCCTTCGTCCAGCTTGTGGTCATCACCTGTGGTACTAGTCCGAAAGAAGGATGGTTCGGTCCAATTATGCGTCGATTATCGAGCACTCAATACGATCACGCGCAAAGACGTCTACCCGATGCCACGAGTCGACGATGCACTTGACTCTCTGCAAGGCGCTGAATTTTTCTCCAGCCTTGATTTACGGTCTGCTTATTGGCAAATACCTATGCACGATGCAGACAAAGAAAAAAACTGCCTTTGGAACACAACCAGGCTGTACGAATTCAACGTAATGCCATTCGGTTTATGTAACACTCCTGCCACGTTTGAACGCATGATGGACACAGTTCTACGCGGCCTGAAATGGAAAACATGTCTCTGTTATCTAGATGACATCTTCATTTTCTCCTCTTCTTTTCGCCAGCATCTTGACTGTTTGGACGAAGTTTTGACGTGTATTTCTAGTACTGGACTTCAGCTAAACACAAAAAATGCCATTTCGCCAACAAGAACATCAAAATGCTGGCCCACCTTGTCAGCAAAGATGGCGTTCGTCCGGATCCTGACAAGCTTGCTGCCGTGATACGCTTCCCTCGGCCAGAAAATCAGAAACACCTACGCAGTTTCCTGGGCCTGGCATCCTACTTCCGCCGCTTCATTAGTCATTTTGCTGCTACCGCGTCGCCACTGCACAAGCTGGTGACATCCGGATCAACTTTCGCTTGGAACGACGACTGCGAGCGTGCCTTTCAAGCCCTCAAGAAGCTTTAACGTCCGACCCTGTTCTGTGCCATTTGGACGAGAATGCACCTACATGTCTGCACACCGACGCGAGCGGCCATGGCATTGGTGCAGTTCTTCTACAGCGGGATGCCACTTCATTGGAAAGAGTTATAGCGTATGCTAGTCGTGCTCTTACGGCTGCTGAACAGAACTACTCCATAACTGAGCATGAGTGCCTCACTGTCGTTTGGGCCATACAAAAATTTCGACCGTATCTTTACGGACGCCACTTCACAGTGATTACAGACCACCACGCCTTGTGCTGGCTGTCGACACTGAGAAACTTGTCTGGTCGCCTCGGTCGTCGGGTGCTCCGCCTGCAAAAGTACGATTTTGACATCATCTATAAGTCTGGCAAAAGACAACAAGATGCAGATGCTCTCCCTCGCTGCCCCCTTCCACTGTCATCAGCAAGTACGTCACCTGATTGCTCATCTGGTGGGCAAGGCACTGCGTCACCCCTCACATTATCATACCTTGCGGTTATCGAAATGCCGGCTTCAAATCGCTACACCGAGTTCGCCACACGCCAGCGTGATGATCCATATTGCAATCGCATTATCCAACGCCTAAATGGCATATCACCTACTCCTAATGCTAGATTGCGCCGACAACTACGGCAATTTAAGCTCGATAACAATGTGCTCTATCGTTACGTTCACACTACTGGTGGACACCGCTGGGTTCCAGTACTTCCGCGTTCTCTACGTCATCAAGTCCTCGAAGCCTTTCACGACGACCCATGTGCAGGCCACTTGGGATTTCACAAAACACAAAGCTGCAACAGAAACCGTTTCTTCTGGTCGAGCATCTCTACATTTGTGGCCAAGTACGTTGCATCTTGTCATCTGTGTCAACGACGGAAGCGACCAACTTCGTCTCCTGCTGCCCTTCTGCAACCTATCCCGTGTCCCGAGACTCGTTTTACCATCGTTGGCATAGACCTACTCGGACCTCTCCCCATCACGCCAGCAGGTAATCGTTGGATTGTGGCTGCTGTCGACCTCCTGACAAGGTACGCAGAGACTGCTGCACTACGCACAAGTTCTGCT